TATAATATTTTATAGATTTTCACAAAGTGACTAACTTGTCTTCATACAAAAATACTCTAAGTCAGATTTTGGGAACAATATTTCACTCTTCTAATAGATTGGTAATAACTTCTATTTATTAGAATCATTGCTAACAGTTTGTCACTGTTGATTATTCAAAAATCAATAAATTGCTAAGTTAAAAAAGGAAAAAGGAAAAAAACGCTTGGGAAAAGGTGACAATTCAAGACCATCAAAAAAATTCAAAAATAAAAACAACCTCTTCTCAAAAGGGATCAACTTGATTGGAATAGTCTTCTTGTTTTACTTGAACCTCAGAAAAAGTTTTTTTTTTCATCACCTGTGGCATTGAACAAGTCCATTCAACTGATTTTTCATTTAAGTGAGTATCAGATTGAAAATCTCAAGGAAAGCATTTAGACCTCAGCTTTTTTCTATTAAAGCTTTATCATTATTTGAGGAACTTAGGTAAGAGATGAGAGTTTACAATCCATATTACCTATCACTTGGTCTTTTAATATTATGGAAGTTTTTATTGAGGGACTTGAGTTTTTTGAAAGGTAACCGTTTTCAAAACCTTCTTTTCAATCACTAATGATATCATTGAAACACATGAATGTGATCAATAGGAGCTTGTTTATATTTCAAAAACTAACATGTTTTGTGTCAGCCAAACACCTTTGGTAAGAATTTGTGTTACCAAAAATTCAGGATCAAACTGAAGTAAGCAAAATTCCCTAGAAAAATATGAAAGTAATAGCTCTAAGAATAACTTTTAAAATTTATACTTTAAGTTATTTTAAAAAAAATATTAAAACTTTATTAGCAAAGAAGTAAATTTATATATGATTAAAAAACTAATAAAAAGAATTTTTTTTTTTTTTTAATTTATTTAATTTTTTGATTATTTTATTTTTTATAAATTATTATAATTTTAATTAATATTATAGTGATTATATAATTTAATTAAAATTATAATTAACTTTATAATATAATTATTTTCTTAAATTAAATCTTATTTAAAATAATAAGATTTGAAAAAAAAAATATTTCAAAGTTTTATTTAATTAAAATAAATAATAATAATAATATTTAATATAAATCAATTAATTTTTATTAAAAATATTAATAAAAATTGTTAAATGAATTATAAAAAATTTATAAATAATTCAATAAAAAAAAATTTTTAATAATATAATTTTTATATTTAGTTTTTAATTGATAAAAAAATTAAAAATTTTATTTTCATATAATTTAATTAATTAAAAATTAATTTATAAATATTTATTATAACTTTTGATCTATAAGCTTAAATTATAAATTTTACATTATAACTATTTTATAACTTTATTGTTAGGTTAGCTATACACAATTATACTTTACTTTATTAACAATTATATAATACTGTGTATAACGTAAGTATTTAAGTGATATTAAAGTTATAACCATATTTAATTCACTTGTTTTTATTAATTTGACTCTAAGTACAACTTTGAAAGTGATTTAACAATTCATGTGAATACTATCCCAACTATTAATATTATTACCTGCAGATAAATATGATTTTTAAAAATATTCAATTATATTATATACAGTATTAACAATAATTTTAATAACCTAACCTTTAATAATAGTTTAATACTTATAGTATAATATTTTTTTAACAAATAAAAATTAAAAAAAATTAATTTTACAATATTTGAAATCTTTATTAATAAAAATTTATTTCATATTATTATGCTAAAAATATTTTATGTTACATAAAAATATAAGTAGAAGAATATTAGAATTAAAAATAACGTTACTTTTTTTAAACAAAATTTACAATGGATTAGTTATGAAATTATTTGTTTTGAACATAATTTAACGGGTAAATATCTCCTTTAGACCTTCCTAATTCTATTACTTCTCGACTCAGACTGTTCTTAATTTCGATGTCTCTCACCAATGTTAATTCCCTAAATCCATTAAATTTAATTTTAATCTTTAACTTATGAAAAACTCTGTGAGATATGTTAAAATAATGATCAATTTTGGGGGTCGCCATGCCCTCTTCGATTGATGGCACGCCAATTTCAACGTCAAATTGATATTCAGTGTTGTTTTTAGGCAACGCAGCAAGTTTGTCACCTTTAATTCGTTTCCTCATGACTTCACGGATGATAACATGTTTAGAAAAATCAACTCCCGGTTTTAATTTTTGATGCTCCTCAATTTTGATTATAACTTCTTTAATTGACAGTCGAGGAGTCGTCGGTAAAACTAATCTAACCGGAACTTTGATCG